ATTTTAAAGAAAGAGAAAGGGAGAGGGAGAACCAGAGGGAGGGGTTCTGCTTCCCGAACCCCCTCCAATTCCTGGGGTGAAGTAAAGAATACTTTACAATATCTAGTAGGAACATCATTAACCTTCAAACCGACTGTAGACAACAATACACAACAAACGATACTATTCCGTGATACATTTGTTGCAATACAATTTCTTTATTGATATAAACATATTCATTATCAGCATCACCAATTCAATGACAAATAGACAAGATAAACCATGATTTAAAGACCGACATGAAAGGAATGTCTGATAGGTAACAATCCAAGATGCACACAAACATAATGTTTTTTTTGAAAGAATGATAAAACAAAGACGAAAATATATTTAAAACAAAATATTGATATAGTAACACATAGTTGCTGTAGATGCTAACAAGTAACTTCCAATTTGATAACCAGGTAATCATGTTAGGAGCCATTTTAGTTTAATACATAGCTAATTCATTATGGCTCCGAACAGAAAATATTTCAAATCACATATTAATGTTAGGACCAAGAGATGCAAGCAGAATCTGGTAAAAAGGAACAAAATACAGATAACCATCCAATGTTGATGTATTGTAACTAGCTGTAAATGTTTCTATTATTCTGTTCACTTAGAAGTAAATTCTAAATTAAACATTTGAATGTGTTTATCATGAAAAAGATGATGTCTTACACTAAAGAGAGAGAAAGAAAAAGAAAAAGAAAGAAAATCCTCTTTAATGAAGTTTTTTTAGTCCAGAAAGTATGAATTCCTCAGTACAATTAGACCTCTATGTATATATTAAATATTAAACCATGCAATATCATTTCATGCATATCAATTGAAGTTCTACAATAAAAAAATCTATACAAAAAAGAAAAGAAATTCCACTTTCCAATGAAATAACACTTTGGATTAAAATCATAGCCCCCCCCCCCCAAATCAAGTATATCATGTAATCTAGAAAAAACACCTAAAAACCTAAAAGCATTTGCAAGTTTGCCACACCTACATACAGGTATGTAGCTGAGGGAAATAAAAGAAACATACTAAAAATAAAGATTATTCATCATTAAAAAAAAGCACTTTGTACCACATACAAAGATTTAAGATAATGCTGTGTAAATAGTTCATAGATAGAGAAAACAAGTAGTTTGGCATTAAGAGTGCAACAACAAGGGGTCATAAACTATATTTTGATGTTTGGAAAAAGAGGATATTATATCAGTATACCTGTACAAATATAGTAAATGGTTTGACTTGAAATTAAAATGAGTAAATGATGGTAAAATGGGGAAAGTTACATATTGTAAAGAGTATCCGACCAATCATGACTTCATCAAGTACCATGCATATATTGATTTGAAATTAAAGTGGAATGAACACGATTTCTCCAAGCTATGTTTTACCCTTGGTTAATACATGAATATAAAAGATTTTTGTATATAGTACTAGCACATGTCACTATCAATTCAAAAGATGGGATAAATTCTTACTGCTTATAATCATATTTCTTACTTCTGGTTATATCCACTTAATAAAGGACAATGCGATGTCATGTGTAACATATAACAATAAAACTTAATTCTAACCAACTATATTTGAAATTCTGACATCATTTACGCTACATAGTAATTACACAAAGGCAACAATAAAATTCACTCAATACAAACTTCTTGTCTTAAAGTTATCAGATTTCATTTCATTCTGCAATGAAACATTAATATCTTCTGTTCAGTGCAAGAAGGGCCTTTACTCTGTGTTTGAAGTGTATGAGTAAACACCCTCACTATGAACATGACAGACAATGAAAGCGGACAAAATATACAGTTCCTCAGGTAGACAAAGGAACGTCCCTTCACTGCTATTATGTAAAAATGTGTAGAACAGGTGAATATGCATGTGACACCTGTTCTACACATTTTTACATAATAGCAGTGAAGGGATGTCCCTTTGTTTACCTGAGGAACTGTATATTTTGTCCGCTTTCATTGTCTGTCATGTTCATAGTGCCTTCTGGCTCCTAACAGACTATAAACTCTTAAGATTCACCCATAAATATCTTTCTCTAAAAATAGCAACTTCCAGATTCAATACAAGCAAGCTAACGTTCAAATACATATAATACTTTCTGATTGGACCTCAACAAAATACATTCTCAAATCAACATTAACGTCATTCAAAATCAAACTCTGCGCAAATAAATCTCTTTTTTAGAAATAGTCATCTATACATAGTACAAGCTAGTTCAACCCCGATTCTCCATTATGCATGTTGATAAGAACAACCTCTACAGGATTATAAATATATGTTTGTATTTTCAATATATAATTATGTACATATCTTTTTTCGATCATCATTTCTACTGCATCTATGATCGAGCTATCTTAAAGCTCTTAAAACAAACATTTATTAATTTACAGACTGAATTCCACTTACCTACATTGTACAACAAGAATGAAAATAATCTGTTTTTCACTCTATTACAACTTACCATTAAGCTTGAGTTCTCACAGTTCTGAGCAGAACCGTTTCTGAATAAACTATTTAGTACAAGAACTGTCTACTGATGTACACTACTACCGTATAATAAACATTCTAAACACACCTAAAATATAAGTTACATTTACACACCAGTCACCAGTCATAAGGACGAGACTAACACCAGACCTAACAATAACAGACACTTGCAAATGAATGTAAAATTGACTTATATTTTGTCTGTTATATTAGTCAATTTAAAGTTGGTTGGGTGTTGAGAATGGATTATTACTTCATACTAACTAATAAAAGTGTTAAAAACATAAGCTGTATAACTTTAACACTCATGTCTAAATCATTATTTAATTCACACTCATTCTCAAGAGCCTGGTTTAATAATAAACCGACAAGTAGTATGCTAATTATGACATATAAATGTACAATGTACAAAATTCCAAGACAGCTACAATGAGTTGTCAAAATGCGAAACTACCAAAGACAAAATCAAAGTCGGTTTTGTCTCTGTATTCAAGTCTAGCAAGACCACCAATACATATCTGACTGAAACCTAGGACTTATCAAAACGTACAACTAATGTATGTCTATTTAAAAGAGAACAACAAAAGTATACTGCTTTACCATTTAGAATCATTCACAAGTCAAATGACTTCATTTTCTGCTAGTGTTTGCTTTGTTGAATTAGTTTTGTTCAAAACCATCTTTCATATTTTCAGGCGACCATCTCACAAGGGATGTTACGTAATTCATTCGATTGAAATATAATTCAATAATAACTACATGCAACAACTACAAAACAAAGAACTTTTGAAATACAATACATGTATTTGAAATATTTGGTGGAAGGTCTAGCAAGAAACATTTACTTTTCTGCATACTTCATATGGTATTATCATGCATTAATTCATTTGATAACAATCAGAAATACTTGTATATTTTCATAGCAACATGAATGCATAGATATTGATTTCAAAAGAAAGGAATGTTGTAGAACAGAAATACTTTTGAAAAATAGTCAATGACAGCAAGTCGTCTGTTTAGAGCCAGAAGGGAGTTTATTCTGTGTTGAAGTATGTATTAAATAATGTCATTCTGGCTCCAAACAGACATGGAATCTAATGAATTTCTTAACTACATTTACAAACAAAAATTCTGACAGCCTATACGCTATCATGAGATTACCTGTACACTCTTTCATGAATACTAACAAACACAAACAGTATGCAACATGCTTGCTATAGCACTTGAACACATTCATATATTTGTCCATATAAACATTTTATGTCCTTGTTCATAATGATTTATAATGGTTTTTGAAAATATCACCATAGACATTAATTTAAATGACTGACTTGATGGGAGAGAGAGGGATGATTTAGGAAATAATTTTTACAAGATTATATCATTTCATCTTTGAGATAGAAATATATGGAATACAAAATAAAGAATGGAAATTCACAACATAATGTTGAAAGGAAAGCAGAAATACATTCATGGCAGAAAGTATATATTGCACGGTGGAAAAAGCAACCTCTAACAAAAAGCCTCTAGCTATAAAATGCAGTCACTTTTGCTTTATTAATACATCAACACATTTCAAAAGAAAAGACATAACACAACCTTCACTTATGCTTCAACAGTTTTGATCAAGGTCAGTGAAATTGATACACAACCTAAAAAATAATCAGAGAATCTAGCCTTTTTCATTTTGCCTATTGTTTATCATCCTACATCTAGGGGCCAAGAAATTTATTCTGACTAAAATGATCACACATTGTATGTACATATAAACTTATGAGAGAAAAATAAAGGGATATCTGAAACGAAATTCAAGTAATGATTATGGAATTCTTGGTCTACAATCTAAAGCCACTAGAATATAATAGTTGTTACAGATATATCAGTGACTAAGTAAGCAATCTGTAAAATATTGAAAGTTTTGTTCACTTTTATGACCTAAACCAATACTCAGCATTGCCTTATAACTTATAAACATGCAGACAAGTTATGTGCTGTAAATCATAAAACATGCAGCAACTTACAGTTTGGCAAATGTCCAATATAGAAACGAGATGAGTTGTAATAACAATTACAAGCTTTATAGATTTATTGAGAATGCCATCAATATTGGACTGTGACTTCTGTCTGGAAAATTGCTTGACACCCTTTCATCATACAATGTTACATCTCCATCCAGAAATATTAATGGATCTTGATGAAAAATCAACCAATGTAAACTAAATCATCTTGTCATTGCACAGGCTGGAATATCTATTGCAAACAGAGCATTACTGTTTGAAGCTAAATTTATCTAAACATTTTATAGATGAATTGTACATGTATTTAATGAAATGCTACCATAAAATGGGTGAAATCGTCTGCTTCTTTTCAAAGTCTAGTGGCTCATAAAATTCATTGGACATGATAGCAGAATAGTGTTTATATCTGACAGAGAAAATTTGAAAATATAAAAAAACTTGATTATATTTTTTCATCCATTTATAGGGTAATACTGGTATATGTACATCCAAATGAGGGGCTAACATTCTCATTCAAGAGATTTATCATATTTTGCATTCATACTTACATCAATGAAACAACTGAATTAAGGTCTACTCATCATGACTTTACTATTAATACATGTACTAATCTTTAAAATAGTTAACACTGCAGCTAGAATACATCAGCAAAAGACATCTTTTCTATGAAATATATCATGATTGGCACTTTCAAACTCTGCCTTCCAGAGTACAGTGTACCTAAATGAGTTGCAAATTCCTTCCCACCTCCTACCCACTTCTATTGTTTGAGGTATACCTTGAATACCACATATACATTGCAAGACCGGGATGCAGCAACGTTCATTCGGCAATGTTCCTCTTGATTTCCTATCAATCTACTGGTCAGCTTTTCAAATGGCCAAGTTACATAACAATAATCAATATGATCATAATCATTATTACAACTACAAATCATGATATTGGCACAATAAATCTGCTTCACAAAAAATAATCTAATCTCTTCTATCAAGTTCACTTCACAATTTAAGATTAGAATACCATGTAAATTTAGAAACAATGATGGCTCTATAGAAAATGCTGACACAACACAATGCTTTGCGCAAGAGCACTACTTTCTAGTCAAATGCATATACTGGAGGTGATGAAACAAGAAGGTCACTGATAACGGCCCATGACCCTCATCCTTATTCTGAAACAAAACAGAGGACTAAAATGCTCTTCCTACATAAAACTTAGAGAAGGTTTCAAAAAATAGTTTCTTAGTTGCTTAGGCCACTAAACTTGACGGCCTTCAACAGAAACCATATTATATTTCTTGATCATTAACATCACAAATATTTATTCACATCAATAGTATCATCAATTTAACTACTGCTCTTAATCATGTTTTTTAGTCAAGATAATTGCAATTTAAACAAGAAAAATAGTGTGAAAGTTGACTTTGATTAAAGACATAGTTTACAAACAAAACACATGTACATGAAATCCTCTGAATTCAACTAAATACATGTACATTTTCACATATATTACCATGATTTCCTTGTAGTACAGACTATTTCGTCAAACAATCATCTTCTTATCGAAAGCTTTTCATCTGTCATGTTGATTCCATGGCTTCATCTTTACAGTTTCCCAACATCTCCTGAAACCACTAAAATACTTATCCATTCTACACCCTCTACTAATATATATCTACCCTTATCTCTAAGCTTGTCCCATTATAGTCCTCCGAGCTGTATATCGCACCTCTAATCTTCCTCTCCTCAGGCGAGGTTCCCATGTCTCACAGTTGAAACCCACATCCAAGATCCAGGTTTAGGGTATGGGTTGCCATTGGATTTTGATCAGGTTTAGAGTAAGGGTTAGCATTAGTTATCATGTTGGATGGATGTAAAACAATGACCACAGAGCAATTGTCCTTGAAGGACGAGTCATACAACTGCCTCATATGCTTCTATCCTTGGCAGTGCCATTGATTAGGAGAGTTTGGCTAACTTAGTTTCACTGGGTCACAACATGGCATATATTCTTTTGTTTTGTGCTTGCCCAACAAAGCAGTAGTCGCCATATTGTGTCCAACTCGAACCGGGTTGGCCAAACTCTGTATATAGATGGCTCTGATCCTTTGGTGTCTCTGCTTCCCTTTATGGATCTCCTGCATTCTCCTCCATCTAGCCTGCATGGAGACTGTGCTCATTGGATCCAGCTGCTGTTTAGATGGTCACTGTCCGATTTTTCTCCACCTGGAACTTCCGGAGAGCTTCTTCAAGCCGGACCAGCACCCACTGTAGAAAACAACAATGATTACAATGAACTTTTGTTTGTTTTGAAGGTTCTGATTCCAATCTTGGTATGATTATGAAAACAGTTGGACTGTTTGATAAAAAACACTCCTGAAAGTTTTCAGATTCGAATCAATATAGATTTTTTAAATGAGACCTCTCTTTGTCTTTATGCACGAATAACTGTAATATTATATACATACTGTATCGTCATAACTACACATAGAGAAGTAATCATAGTCATCATCCATAGTAGCAAAGTTAATTCGCTCAAATCATCATTGGAAAAAAGATGCTTTAAATCAACGATTTCTGTTATCGACAGAATTCTCACACCCCCCCCCCCCTACCTCCCTCTGTCTGTCTGTACATTCTTTCTTCAAACGTCTTTCTAAAAAGTTCTGAAAGAGCAATAAAATCATCGCTGAATAGCGTTAGTAACAAGTTTTTATCCACAGTTACATGTACCCAGGGTTTTATTCAACAAGTTGAAAGTATACAGTACACTTGCGATTGCACCATGTTAGAGAGGGGGGAGGATTGGGGGTTCCTGAAAAGGACTCTCGGTAATCTTTCTTTCTTGAGTGTTTGTAGTCCTGAAAAGGACTGTTGGTTATCTTTCTTAGCTTATAGTTCTAAGGAGAACTATAGCACCAGTGGGAGAGGATGGGGGGTAGGAGTGGCTCGATGTTTCAAACAGTTTGACTATCCGTTGTCAGAAGTTGAGAGTAGTAATGAAAGCAAAAAGATCTTCCTTTAATCATCATCATTAAAGATCACAATGGCATTTCAACACCATTAGACACAAACTTACCTGGCAGAGTTCTGGATTCTCACAAACAATCTCTCGCTTCTTGTCCTTCCCTTCATGCTGTCAAATAAAAAACACAAAAATAATTAAATGGTTTTAAGAATTTCACACCATGTAAATTAATGCATCGATTAAAGGGAATGACACAGACAAAGATGAACAAAAATTCATGCCATTTCATTTATCAAAAAGTTTTATATCAAAGACTTCTTTTTAACAAAGATATTGGGGAAAAAAAAACACTCCTAATTTTTAAATTGTAATTATTGCCTTTCTAGCCACTATCTTGTTCTGATCCTACTTGGGTAAGGTGCATGCAGTAGAATGGGATTTGAATCAGCAACCTACTCATAAGGCATACAGAGTACAAACCCCTGAACCACAGTGTCTCAATTGATCACTTACCACGGCATCAAAGATGATTTTATTGCCATCTCTCTTTGGTAGGGTCAGGATGGTCTTGAAGCGGTCTCCTTGTTCCAGGTCCCAGCCTCCAGACCAGCGACACTTCTCTAGGACCAGGACTCTCCTGCAAGAAAAAACCAAACATCAAATACATAACATCGTCTAATAAACTATACTTAGTTATAATGGAGATTACTTTTCAAATCTCTTCAGGCCTTTTCAGGTTTTCAAATTTTGAGCTACTTAGGGCAAGTTTAAGGTCCCATACATTACCAACATTATCGGTTTTTTTAGTATGTCCTCTGATTACATGTATATCAAGTTGACAGCCTTGTCTTGGATCAAACAAAAGACAAAATTACAAGGAAAATTTAATTTGTCATTTCTATTTTTTGTCTGTTTTTCTTGGTTCATTTGAATTATTTGATTCATGATTAGTAAAAACTAAATTCTCATTGTATATTATCAGCCAAACTTTCACATACTGTAGTAAATACATATAGCATTTCCATCATATCTGCAAACTACAGTCCTGTGATCCTCCTAGTGGCTGAGAATATAAAAGCTTGCAAACTACAATAGGCTAAAAGCTTTCCATAGTAATCACTTTCACATCCTTTGAATGTTTACCTTGCACATGGTTGGCTAAATCCATTGGCATTGCACAGAGATTAAAAATTACGTGAACTTACAATGTATAAAATGATCCTTTATTTCATTTCTTGCAAAAAATTATTGAAAAATACCACTTTGACATTCAAAATATGATTGTTTCTATACTGACCTTGTTGTGATTAGTACTACATCAGGAGTGCTATCCGATGATACAGTAGCATGTGCATAGTAGATATCAGTGTTGAAGATCTCCTTGTGTCTGATGTTGTGTAGGATGCTGTTACCTACAGCCCTGTATGGAGAATATGGCGTCAGACCCTGTGGAGATAGAAGAAAAGAGAGATCAGCTGGTTTAATGAATGAACAGTGCTATACATTGCAATACAGGCCTACAGTAAAAAAAAAATATTTCACTAAAAATCACCAGTGATTGAACATACACAGTATGAGTAAAGTACATGCCTGTACCATTATTGGAAATTTCATCTTTATGGAAGCTACATCTACATTAATTTAAAAACATTTAGTCTTAAAATGGCTCAGAGGGACAAAAATATCATGAAGAAACTTGAAAAAATTGCCAGTTAAGTATCAACAAGGTACATATTTTATTTTATTCATTTACAAAGTGGTTCAAATATTGAATCAGGAGAGCTAAATGAACCATGCAGATATCTAATGATTATAACACTCTTAAACAATAGTGAAAAGCATAAAAAGAATTTAATTATTTAATTTATGCAGAACATTCCCACAGAAAGCGAACTGAATGAGAGGAAACAAAATAGCAATGTTCAGATATCCATCTCACCTCTGTGGAATTGATGAACCTCGGGATGCGCAGCCGACCTACGACCTGCTCACCGGCCTCTGCTGCCCTCTCTATACCCTCCAGGACCAGGGTGATGGCATCGATGGTTCCTCCGAGGGGTTTAGCGATGAGTCCCATCAAGCCCTTCCCGATCCCCTTGAAAAATCCCTTGATACCATCCTCTTGTGCTCCATGGATGGGGGAGGTTACCACTCCTGATAGACCCAATACTATGCCCTGAGATTACACACAACAACAAAAGACATTTGTAGAGACATTTATAGCACTTGTTCTTGAAAAAGGCCTAAACATAAGTTACTCAAGGTCCGCTGTTCAAGTCCCACCACGCCACTAATGTCCTGGTGCAAGACATTGATCTACATTTGCCACTCTCCACCCAGGTGTTAAATGGTTACCCGGAATGATGCGAAAGCTAATGTGGTTAGATTAGCAAGTGGCTGGAATGCTCCCCAAGGAGTGGAGAATATTCATACATTGTGTGTGGGTAAGTCTGAATCCGATGACCGGGGTCATAATGTATATATCTGTAAAAAGCTTTGAGAGGCCTGCGGTCCTGAAAAAGCGCCATATAAGAACAAACTATTATTATTTTGAACATTTTCACCCTAAGGATATACTGTCAAGATTCACTGCATAAGATTAGAATGAGTAAAGGTCCAAGCACTGTCCCTTGGGGAACGCCGACATACCGTTAAGATTCATATCAATACACATACCATGACAAAGCCCTGGCCGGCATTGAGCAGCTGGAATGGGAAGCTATCTGGATGTCTCCTCATTCGCCTCTCTCGATTCTACACAAAAACAGGAAGATAAACAAAACAAACTTGAGTATTATGTATTTTGTATTTAAGCATTATAAGTGTAATGCGCCTCACTCTGCTATTAACCTCTGCTATTAACTGCATGTAATTTCCAATTTTTCCTTTGAATAAACATGGTGTACTATTCAACCATTGTTGGTCTATAACAAGACATAAATCCAAAATATATTTGGCAGAAAGAGAATAACAAAAAGATAAAAAGAATTAAAAGCACAAAATAAAACTTTTCAAATTTCTCGAAATTTGTAAATTAATACTGACATTTATATGATTATTACATGCAGAAATGATCATCATCATTTTGCTTGGAACTTTCAAATTTGTCAAGCACTTTTAAAGACAGATTTTAAACTAGATGGAATTTTGTCTGCGTGCAGTCGAAAATGATGCCTCCGCCATAGAGCAATTTAAACTAGAGAGTTACTTGACCTATTGTGACCTAAGGTCAAGCCGAAAATTGAGAAATTTGTCATTTTGTGTACAAAATGATAGGCAAAGTGAAGTTTCTAGTTTGGTCTATAAATCAGCATAATTTTACTCTTTAGAGTTTAGTTATCATTTATTCAAGCAAAATATTGATACGTAACAAACTCAAGTATCAGAAGTCCTAAAACAATACAATACATAAGATTAAGAATTAATAACAATAGAATACAAAAGAAGTTCATAAAACAATGAAATACATAAGAATTGAAATAGACATGGACAATTTTTTTATGTGATAATGCCCGATAGGCTTTTTAGAAACTTCTTGCCACAAAATCAACTCTGTAAAAGCTTTATTTATGTAATTGTTAATAAAAATCATTATTCATGAATTTGATTTGCATAAATTAGCATAATTGATAAAATAAGTAATTTTCAGCAAAATTATAGTGAGGTCTTTTCCTTTATGCAATTGCATAAATTAGCATAATTGATAAAATAAGCAATTTTCAGCAAAATAATAGTGAGGTCTCTTCCTTTGCGCAATTTCTCAAGACGAGTGCCAAATTTCGAGGCAATCGGCCCCTCCCCCCCCCCCCAGTCAGGGAGGTGCTCAAAATAGCCCAGTTAAGTACGGGTTAAGTAACGGAACATATTTCAAGTGGTTCTTGACATATCATGACAAGTCCTATACATGTAGTCTGAATTTTTCAAGTTGACCTCTATGACCTTTGACATACATGTACTCCAAAATCTAATCTGATTTCCTATGGTGATATATATACTATCCTTAAGTTTTAAGTTTAAATTCTCAAATGGTTCTTGAGATATCGCGATAACGAGCTGAAGACATGGAATTTCACAAGTTGACCTCTGTGACCCTTGACCTACGTGCTCCAAAATCTAAACAGATCGTCTTCCTATGGTAATACATACTATCATTAAGTTTGAAGTGAAAATTCTCTAGTGGTTCTTGAGATATCGCGATAACAATCTCAATGTATGGAATTTCATAAGTTGACCTCTGTGACCCTTGACCTGTGACCTACGTGCTCCAAAATCTAATCAGATTGTCTTCCTATGGTGATACATACATGTACTATCATCAAGTTTGGAGTTTATATCTCCAGTGGTTCTTGAGATATCATGATAACAATCTCAATGTATGGAATTTCATAAGTTGACCTCTGTGACCCTTGACCTTTGACCTACGTGCTCCAAAATCTAATCAGATTGTCTTCCTATGGTGATACACACTATCATTAAGTTTGAAGTTTAAATCTCCAGTGGTTCTTGAGATATTATAACAATCTCAATGTATGGAATTTCATAAGTTGACCTCTGTGACCCTTGACCTTTGGCCTACGTGCTCCAAAATCTAATCACATCGTCTTCCTATGGTGATACATACTATCCTTAAGTTTGAAGTGAAAATTCTAAAGTGGTTCCTGAGATATCATGGTAACAATCTCAATGTATGGAATTTCATAAGTTGACCTCTATGACCCTTGACCTTTGACCTACGTGCTCAAAAATGTAATCAAATTGTTTTCCTATAGTGATACACACTATCACTAAGTTTGAAGTTTAAATCTCCAGTGGTTCTTGAGATATCATGATAACAATCTCAATGTATGGAATTTCATAAGTTGACCTCTGTGACCCTTGACCTTTGACATACGTGCTCCAAAATCTAATCAGATCGTCTTCCTATGGTGATACATACTATCCTTATGTTTGAAGTTTAAATCTCAAATGGTTCTTGAGATATCGTGCTAACAAACTCAATACAAGGAATTTCATAAGTTGACCTCTGTGACCTGTGACCTTTCACCTACGTACTCCAAAATCTAATCAGATCGTCTTCCTATCGTGATAAATACTATTCCCGAGTCTTAAGTTTAAATCTTAAATGGTTCTTGATATATTGTGATAACGGTCAAACGGGACGGACGTACGGACGTACGGACGGACAACCCGAAAACATGATGCCTCCGGCACCACCTTCGGTGGCGGAGGCATAAAAATTATATTTTCCTCCAAAATGCTGAACCACCCCGGCCCTTACAATTTCGGCCCGAAAGTTGTGATAATTCAAATGTTTACAATATTTGCCACTACGCCCCTTTCAAAGGGATATGGGGGTCAGAATCTATTTAATTGCATGTAGGTACATTCATTGTGGGGAAACTAGCCTATTCAAAAAAAATAATATTTTCCTCAAAAATACTGAACCACCCCCAAGCCCTTCCAATTTCGGCCCGAAAGTTGTGATAATTCGAATTTTTACAATATTTGCCCCTACGCCCCTTTCAAAGGGATATGGGGGTCAGGATCCATCTAATAGCATGTATGTACATTCATTGTGGGGAAACTAGCCTATTAAAAAAAATAGTATTTTCCTCCAAAATGCTGAACCACCCCGGCCCTTACAATTTCGGCAAGAAAGTTGTGGAAATTCAAATTTTTCCAATATTTGCCCCTACGCCCCTTTCAAAGGGATATGGGGGTCAGGATCCATCTAATGGCATGTATGCACATTCATTGTGGGGAAACTAACCTGTTAAAAAAAAATTATATTTTCTTCCAAAATGCTGAACCACCCCGGCCCTTACAATTTCGGCCCGAAAGTTGTGATAATTCAAATTTTTACAATATTTGCCCCTACGCCCCTTTCAAAGGGATATGGGGGTCAGGATCCATCTAATAGCATGTATGTACATTCATTGTGGGGAAACTAGCCTATTAAAAAAAAATAGTATTTTCCTCCAAAATGCTGAACCACCCCGGCCCTTACAATTTCGGCAAGAAAGTTGTGAAAATTCAAATTTTTCCAATATTTGCCCCTACGCCCCTTTCAAAGGGATATGGGGGTCAGGATCCATCTAATGGCATGTATGCACATTCATTGTGGGGAAACTAACCTGTTAAAAAAAAATTATATTTTCTTCCAAAATGCTGAACCACCCCGGCCCTTACAATTTCGGCCCGAAAGTTGTGATAATTCAAATTTTTACAATATTTGCCCCTACGCCCCTTTCAAAGGTATATGGGGGTCAGGATCCATCTAATGGCATATGTAGGTACATTCATTGTGGGGAAACTAGCCTATTCAAAAAATATAATATTTTCCTCCAAAAGGCTGAACCACCCCATCCCTTACAATTTCGGCACGAAAGTTGTGATAATTCAAATTTTTACAATATTTGCCCCTACGCTCCTTTCAAAGGGATATGGGGGTCAGGATCCATCTAATGGCATGTATGGACATTCATTGTGGGGAAACTAGCCTAATCAAAAAATATAATTTTTTCCTCCAAAATGCTGAACCACCCCGGCCCTTACCATTTCGGCCAGAAATTGGTGTTTATTCAAATTATCACAATATTTGCCCCTACGCCCCTTTCAAAGGGATATGGGGGTCAGGATCCATCTAATGGCATGCATGTACATTCATTGTGGGGAAACTAGCCTATTCAAAAAATATAATATTTTCCTTCAAAATCCTGAACCACCCCGGCCCTTACAATTTCGGCCCGAAAAATGTGATAATTCAAATTTTTACAATATTTGGCCCTACGCCCCTTTCAAAGGGATATGGGGGTCAGGAAGCATTTAATGGCATGTATGTACATTCATTGTGGGGAAACTAGCCTATTCAAAAAATATAATATTTTCCTCCAAAATGCTGAACCACCCCGGCCCTTACCATTTCGGCCAGAAATTGGTGTTTATTCAAATTATCACAATATTTGCCCCTACGCCCCTTTCAAAGGGATATGGGGGTCAGGATCCATCTAATGGCATGCATGTACATTCATTGTGGGGAAACTAGCCTATTCAAAAAATATAATATTTTCCTTCAAAATCCTGAACCACCCCGGCCCTTACAATTTCGGCCCGAAAAATGTGATAATTCAAATTTTTACAATATTTGGCCCTACGCCCCTTTCAAAGGGATATGGGGGTCAGGAAGCATTTAATGGCATGTATGTACATTCATTGTGGGGAAACTAGCCTATTCAAAAAATATAATATTTTCCTCCAAAATGCTGAACCACCCCGGCCCTTACCATTTCGGCCAGAAATTGGTGTTTATTCAAATTATCACAATATTTGCCCCTACGCCCCTTTCAAAGGGATATGGGGGTCAGGATCCATCTAATGGCATGTATGTACATTCATTGTGGGGAAACTAGCCTATTAAAAAAAATATATATTTTCCTCCAAAATGCTGAACCACCCCGGCCCTTACCATTTCAGCCTGAAATTGGTGTTTATTCAAATTATCACAATATTTGCCCCTACGCCCCTTTCAAAGGGATATGGGGGTCAGAATCTATTTAATTGCATGTAGGTACATTCATTGTGGGGAAACTAGCCTATTAAAAAAAATAACATTTTCTTCCAAAATGCTGAACCACCCCGGCCCTTACAATTTCGGCACGAAAGTTGTGATAATTCAAATTTTTACAATATTTGCCCCTACGCCCCTTTCAAAGGGATATGGGGGTCAGGATCCATCTAATGGCATGTATGTATATTCATTGTGG